TACTGGCAACTTTAAGAACCTATAAACATCAGTGACTAAGATTAGGGTAATCACCAAATCCAGCATCCGAAATTCATCTATCGGAAGTCGAACGAGGAAACGGATATCTCTGAGGGATCTATCCTGGAGAGAAAATGAACGTCTTCTAGATACCGTTACTCGAAATGATAATTCTATGCTGAGAAACCACTGCACCAGGTTGGTATGTCGGGACAGTCTGATGTTCCAAGAGGCTCTAGCAGTAAGAGTCATCTCTAACCCTAAGTTTTGTATAAGTACGTTAAAATCATTCGGAAAGTTAAGTTTCTTATACCGAGACTGGTCTTTGCATTTGTGGACAAAGTACTTTCACCGATGAAGTGGTTTCGAGGATTTGAAATTCGGCAGCAGTTTTCTCATCCGGGGTTTTTGACTCATCGTAGGATGTGTCAGGCAAAAACATTGTGAAATCACTCAGTATGAATGCTGTCTTTCTGCTCAGAATTGATCTGGTTGAGTATCACTTTACTAGACCCTTTATCAGGATGCGGAACAACGAGATCCCTCATAGAATGAAGTTACCTGACGGTGGCTAGATGATCAGGACAGAGTACTTTGATTGGGAAAAGTTATCCTGAATTCACCGGTGTAGCTCTGTCCAATTTTCTTCAAATTATAATGACACTTGCTGTCAATCCACAAGTCACATGTCAAGCTGAGGAATTGACTGTTGTTATAATAACATGAGTAGATGTTAGATTGGGTTTTAGAAAACCAAGCAAGTAGCTTGATACAGAGCAGTCGGGTTTACATGAAAGAATCCAGACAGGTGCATAAGCCGTTCAAAAGTTTGTTTGTGTATATATTGCAGTTTCCTTACAGAGTCGATTATTCTGTTCCGAGACATCGTGAGAAACGGCAAACTGTTTCAGTGCTTTCACCAAAGTACCATGCACATAGTACCTCGCCATAACAGAGTCAATCATTACAATTGTCGGGAATAAGAATAGAGATTGTGATTGTAACTTTTTGACCATTCTTGGTGGGATGCGGAATAGAAGATCAAGGGAGAGAGACGGCTCGATTCAGTCTAACTGTTAACTGATTCAGTACCTATTTCTCCAGTTCGAATGGGATATGGAGCTTTATGATATCATATTACACTAGATAATGCACTTTTATTTTGCACAGGGCTTCGAATAGTGTCCTTCAGACTGTCTAAACTTATTGTCCGGTCTTGTGAAATGATCTGCACCAGCTCATGTGATCGTTCTCTGATCGGCAATTGAGCCACGGGATTAACTTTAGCAGTAGTCAATATGTGGACTAAACATGTGTCGTTCATTTGAATTGTCCGAGAACCAAAGCGTTTTATGGAATGTATTTGTTTACAATAGAGTACATCTGTTTGTGGGTAACTTATACCGGTCAGTGGAAAGGAGGGAAGTATAGTGGCGTTCAGTGCTGTATTTTCCAAAGAAACATCATCTGGGATTTGACCAGGACTTTCGCTAACTGCTTGTTCGTATCAAAGGCCAGTAATGAAACAGCACAGATCAACTGCACATTTGCCCAAAGACCAACCACCAACTACCTATCATCTCCACTCACCCCTTTGTGCCAACCGGCATCTCTTCACTTGCCTTCATCCCCCCCCCCATGGAAATAATCGTTGTTAATCACCCTTTGAATAAATGAAGTGAAAGTCCATTGTACGACCTAAATGTAAGCTGGATATTCTTTTACCCATGAAAGACACACTTGCAACGTTATTTTATTTGGGCACGCTTAGTCACCACGCATAGCACAACTATCACGTGGTTCCCGTTGAACCACAGTACTTGTTATGTCCACTGTTACCGGGGTTTGATATAATTAAGAGTTTATTGCTGTGGTTCAACGCTAGAAATGACTAAACTTTGCACATTACTCCTACATTTTGAAGACAGCTATGCTCATAGTTCGCATCACGTTTACACAATGGCCCCGCGCCCATCAATGGTCACAGGATGGAATTCGAGTTTTGTTGAGCAGCTCAGAAATAATTAACTCCTATGCGCTGTGTTTGGTATGACTTTCATATGCGACATAATAATGATATGTTGACCTAATCGAAGCACTATTTTTTTGTCCGCTTTGATGAACCTCATTAGCAGTATGTACTGTTTTGTGCCTTTGTCGGGACTTGAACCAGGGAATCAACAAAACCACACCTTAGTTTATATTATACAGACCCTAGTGTCTGTCAGTTTGCATACACCAAACGGGGCAGTTCAACAAATGAGCCCCACACCCTCCAGATATTGGATGTCGACCGTGTAGTTCATGGCTCAGGGTTCCCGCTCCCTGCCTCAAGGCCCAGTTGATAATAATATATAACACGAAATGATCATTAGTACGTAAAAGGACAAAAGCAGGAGGTCGGTGTCACTATGAAGTACATCCCATATAAAATGAACTGTCATTTGGGGACTGAGTCAAATCTGAAGTTGCAAGAACCGCTCTAGAATAACACTACACGGATCTTGGTATCTGTAAATTTTCATAGTCTACACGAAGCAGTGTCAAGTTGTAAAGAAAACACCCTGGGATTATGCATCTTAATTCAGGTTTAAAAGGAAGTAAACTGAATCAATCAACAAAAACGTAAGCCACATTATTTGCTAGGTCAAGGACAAAGGTCTTC